TCAACAGTTCAATAAAAAACACACCTAAATACCTTCCCTGTAGCAGCAAACCTAGGTACTCATTAAAATTATTGTAATTTAAATAGGAAATAAATCTGACAATTTTCAGGGTATATATTAGTAGGAATCCAGCCAGGTAAATGGACATTCACTTAGTCTGCAGGTTTGCTGCGGTGGGGGTGTTTTATTTATAGTATTGAATGAAATAAACAAATTTACCAAATGTCAAACTAATTTATTTCATACAATAATTTTATCTATAAAAAAAGAATTTCAGATATGAAATATAAGTTTGGTGTACTTGGTATAACTAGAAATACATAACAGAAATTGCAGTTTTAAATTTGTATGGACCTGTAACAACCATGAAAACTATATTTTTTTGGACCACATTCATATAGCTATGGACTATGCGCATGGACTTTTAAAATCCTTACTAAAAACTTAATTTATAATTAATTTCAAGATATGTCAAAATTTACTATTGACGTGTACACATATTTAAAGTTTACTTATAGACTAAATTTTGGAATATTTACTTGCTTCATAGTATATTTTATAAATTTATAAATATCTCACCAATGAAATATAATTCGATGAATGCATTTTACGTATATTATTCTGTATTTTTCTAATAATACGTTAAATCATACTTTAAAAACACGACAAAAGGTCTTGCGCCTTTTAAATTTGAGCTGAAAGTCAAATACACTACTGATGGGAAAGCAGTATTTCTTCTTGCGCAGGCAGTTTCGTTTCATAAAATCTGACACACAGGATAACTATTTTCAAATTAAAAGATTCTTATTAATAAATTTCTAAATATTTATATCCATTATTAAATGGAAAATAATCTTATCATTGTAAAATTGTCCAAATTGAACTTAAGTTCTTTTCAATTTTAAGCCTCGTTATAAAAAAGAAATAATATAATTATAATAAATTGTTACATTTTAACGAATCTTTATACCTTACTCCATTTTTACTTTACTTCATGATTTAAAACACAGTAACCACACTTTATTTATAACTATTTGCGTTAGCCATGCTTCAAAAGAATAATAGTACAAAGAAGAGAATTTATGACGATCTTTAAATCTACTGTGAAAAATAGTACCTCGCTCACAATTAATTTCATAAATAAAACTCAATCGTACCTATTCGATTTTTAAATCCTCTTTCGTTTTATTCATAAAAGAAGTGAAAATACTTAGGCTACCTAGTTATATCTAAAACGCGTTAGTATATATGGTGTAGTAATTTTTGTCACATTTAAATGAAATTTGGCGTGAATTTGCTGGATACACTTGGAAGAGTTCGCGAACCAGCAAGATTGGGTCATGAAAACGTGGCGTTGTAAGGTTTAAAGTTTTTGAAAAATGAATTTTTTTAATTTTCATTCTTAATACTTGAAAATTTCCAATTTTTATTACAGTGATCGTCTAGACCTTAAAAACAAACAGCAATTGTTGTTAAATAATTCAAGGTTAAGAAGTAAAAAAAATTGTCCCTCATTTTATGCTTATGGAGGAAAAGAATGCTTGTTTATGGATACTAGAGGTCGTCCAGTGGTCAAAAACTCGATAAAAAAATATGTACTGTACAGACTTATCTATTTTCACCCCACACTGCCACACTGTAAATAAAACACGTGATTAGAGTCTCTTTCATTTGTTTTGATTTTCTGTTTATATTTCTTTACCAGCATGGCAACCCATAAGGCTCGTGTTATTTTTTTTTTATTTAAAGTCATTTTTCGTGCTTTTTTTCCCTATTTTAATTTATAAAGGGATTCTGTACATCTGAAAATATCTTTCTAACAGTACGCGTAGATTTTCCCTGTGAATGCGATGCACACAAGCTGAGAAAAAGGTTCTAAAGAAACATACTTGCCTATTAATATATAGATATTTTGATCAATCATGGCAAATATTATTTATTTCATCCTGCACTATTATCTATACTTATAAAAGGCAAAGCCCTCACTGACACACTCACTCACTCACTCACTCACTCATCACTAATTCTCCCACTTCCCATTTACCTAGGAGGCTGAAATTTGGTACACCGATTCTTTAGGCATTAAATAGGAAAACTAAGTTGTTTTTATTCTGATCGGACTCTCGGGCTCCGCCCCAGTGGCTCTGGAGTTTCCCATGTTAACCTTATGATTTTTCATATTTAAAAAGAATTAATGAATCTTATCAGCTGTTTCAATTAAACAGGTTGGTTCTGTTCTATGATGTTCAATAGCATTATAGTTACAAGGATTACCAAGAGGGTGCAGCACTATTATTTTTTTTTAATTTATGACAACAGCCAATTTGCAACCAAAAGGTGAGTGAGCGTAGCGAACGAACTTCAACCAGGACGTGATTGAGCCATGCGAACGAGCTCATCTTGAAAATTAAGAAGTTAAACGGGGCAAAGCCCGCCCAACAGCTAGTTACTTTATAAAATATACGCTTTAACAAGAAAATAACACATAAACAATACAACGTCTTCGTCCAGTTAGTTTCCACTCAAATTCTAAAGCATCATAAAACTCTTCCAGAAAGTAGATTCCGAGCCACCGGACCAAATCTAGGGCACATCGTGTGACAAGACGCCTCTATGGGTTCTCATGTACGTTCGTGTACAGATCGTGATATAGTTCTGTACACGTACACGACCGATGAGAACTGGACTAATTGTTACCAGACCAAGTATAGCCATGGGAACTTATTCCTATGACGCCATCGGTTTAGAGTAATTATTGATCAGCTGTTGTTGGTAGATTTTGTGCTGTTAAGTAGAAAATATATTTATTATCTAATAAATAATTTTAAATATGAGTATTTTTAGTAATACTTATCACTAATTTGGCAGTTTTCAAAAATTTTGTTACAATTTGATCAAGTATTGTTTGCTAAGGGATATTTATTTTCCTGGCTATGTATTATTCCCTCACGAGAAGCATATTACAAAAGGGCTATATTATTACTCGTTATTTAACTCCTCATGTAAATTCCTTTCCAAAAAGTTTTGTTGAGGTTAATTTTTTATATTTGCTGTATTTGATTTATTTACGTCTATGGAATGTTTTACGTTATTTGTTGTCCTTCAAAAGAAGGGGAACCGTCCAAACCATAATCTTTATTATTGTCTTATTAGAAAGCTAAATTAACTTATCCCAATGTATCGTGATCTCAACCAATTTTTACATTTTGAAAGACAAAATTATAAAGTTATATTTTTTTGTAAGTGTGAGGCTTATATTTATAGGTTTATATTGATGAAAGCAATTTTATTTTCTAAATCAACGTACTCAAAAGTCCTTAGTTACCAAAATGTATTTTAGCTTTCTTCCCCTGCACAGAGTATATGGAGAAAGTATTGTTTTCGTTAAAACTTTCGAGTTTGAGTTTTGTGTGAAAATTTACGTTTTATTAAAATTACGAAAAAACTGGATCTTCACAAAAAGACATGAACTGTTTTCAATAAAATTTATTATGTCGTCTTTTTAACCCCAACAAAATTGTTTACCTCCAAATGCTATAAAAACTACGGTCCAAAAGTTATTGCATTTTATGTGATTTTCTTCATTAAATAACATAGCTAAATGATAAGGGTTTTTGACAAGCTAATTGAATTTCTGAATGGAAGCTGTATGAAAGAGTCTGTTTGAAATTATGGTTATTTGGTATTCATTTGCTTTTATATTAAAATAAAAATAAAACTATAATAAGCTTATATATAATGATCAAATGGGGTTAACTTTATAATTTTGTTAAGAGACGACATCAGGATTTTAAAAACTGAGCTATGGAATTAAGCATATTAAATTTCTTCAAATGTTTTTCCATGAATTTTTGCCCATCAGTTGACATTAATATTTTGTTAAATTGTTGTAGTCTATGTATTGTCTACTATCTTGTGTAGTAGTTAGTTTTAATTTTACTCAGGACATTTGCACTACTAATGCATGTGCAAATAATCTGTATAATCTGTGAATAAAACCTGAGATGATGTTTTGGCAACTAAATATATTGAGTTTTGAACTGGAAGTGTGGTTATAGCCCTACTCGACAGCAAAACACTGTGTGTGACTAAACTGGACAACATTTTATTTTTATCTATAACTTGCAATCACTTTTGGAATGTCAACTTTAATTCAGTGTATCTATATTTATAGATACAACTAAGGAATACAGTCCGCCCTGCAAAATTTAACCAAATAAGAGCAAACAACATCTAACTTTTTATAGAAGTATTGCTATATTCCAAGTCAGGTCAATGCTATATTCTAATCAACTGCAATATATTATTCGTTTACCTGTTACCCACTGAACCTGTATTCTGTATCCAAGAATCAGGATAACGTCGGGAAGACTCAGGAAGATGTTCAGGTACAAGAGCCTATTACATTTAACACTTACCCTGAGAGTGTTACGTTGCAACGGTTAGTGATGCAACGGTGATTTTCACTTCATGTTCCTCACAACCGTTGCCGCGATTGTTGACTTTGTTCGTAAATGAGAGCAAAAGTTTACAGTGGCACTTTCTGTTTCACCTCGTTAATGTGGTCTGAGAGGATCTAGTTGCAGTTGAGCTGTACGTAGTTGAGAAAGGTGCAATATTTTTGCACAGTGGTTTTTTAATTTCTATGAAAGCACAGTTCTGAGGTTTACAAACTGTCACTTGAATAAAAACATCAATATGGCCTTTTCCTGCAAGCCTAATCCTTCTACATCGTATAAAGTCGTCAGAATGAAACAACTATTTAAAACGTATTTTAAATATGTCGCCCCTTCAGTTTGTATTTCCTATGAGAAAATTAAGGATTGACATAAAACGAAATAAAAAGGAAAATTTTGTATTTTACCTACCTAAGTATTTTTACTTTGTGCTACAATGTTAGGTAACTAATTTATTCATCTTAAAAGTTAAATAATTCAACACAAGTTATCATAACACTGCAGATTTTTCACACAACTTTGAGTGGGGAAGGAAAAACACTGTTTTATTTTTAGTTTTTATTACCTATGTTAAAGTTTGAACTTAAAATACTTATAATTAGATCTTAGACTAAAGCTATATACACACATTTACACGTTCGGTAACTTCCCTTAAATTAAATGGCCAACAATATAATATAAAGAATATTTAGTATCATTAATGAAATGAATGGTTGTGAATTAAAATATTAATTTCTTTGGAATCACAAAATCATGTTGATGGTGACATGTTTTTTGCGTAAGCCTTTTTTCAAGTCCGACATTTTATATCATAGATTTTCAAATCCCTCATAATGATTAGTAAAGTATACAATCCAATCGCTATGAACCTATTACAACAATCAATTACTGTTTTCTGAACATAACTGCAAATAAATAACTTTGTTAAACTTAATTTTTATTTTCCTTTGACTCCTCAGATTCTCTCTTTCTGACCATGGAATTATCGATGGCTAGAACATATGTGACAGGAGCGTCTTTGCTCTCCGAAGACTCTACCCTGTACAAGTTTCTGATTCCTTGATCGGCTAGGAGTTTTCTCTCGGTCTCAGTCAAGGGAACGGGCTTGGGAATCCTCTTAGGATATTTTCCCGGAGGTTTTCTCTCATCTACGTAAAAACTTTGTCTTTTAGCGCTCAACGCTTTATACTCCTCGCTGTCTTCTTCGTCCGCCGGGGTTATCTCGCTTGATTCTTGAAGGCTGTTCAAGGCCAAAGGAGATATCTGGAAGCCGGCTTTGGAGAGAGCCTTTATCTCCGAGGCGGTAAGGGCTCGTTGTCCGTGAGGGGTCGGTATCCTCGGAACACCTTGGGTATACCCGGGGTAGTTGGTGTAGGGACGAGGAGGCTGAGTTGTTATCCTCTTCCCAAGGGAAGATTGGTGAACGTAGATGGCAGAGCGAGAAGGTGCGTCAGGGGACGGGAGGGGAGGACCTTGAGGTTCACGGCGGTACTCGGGAGCTGGAGTGTACTGAACTGGAACTTGGTTGTAGACAGCCAATGGGATAGTAGTGTAAGGTTCAGGGGCCTTGGCTCTATACAGATTTTGAGGAATTGCAGTGTATCCTTCTGGGGCTTTGACGTAAACCCTGTCAGCAGACGGTGCTTCGGGGCGGTAAAAGAGGGATTGAGGTTGAGCCGGTCTAGGTCTAGGTATCCTTACAACCTGCTCTTCATTCTCAGCAGGCCTGGTAGTCTCTATCAAATACTGCTGAGGGTGTTGAGGCTGAGTTGGAGTCTGCTGTTGAGGTTGAACGTTGAAAGATGTGAACTCAACTGGCTTTTGAGGTTCAGGTTGAGGTTGGGGTTGAGGTGCAGGTTGAGCTGCAGTTTGGTAGTACTGAGGTTGAGACTTTACTTGGTTCTGCAATCTTTCCTCGATGGAGACCAACCTCGGCTGTAGCTTTTCCCTTGCGATTTCAGATGTTCCGAATTTCACCTCGCTGTACGAGAACTTCTCAGGAACCTGTGAGGGACGGATTGATCGGGTTTGGTAGTACTGAGGGCCTGACTGTTGGGAGTATTGAGACTCTGAATAGCTGGGAGGAGTTTCGTACTGTGGAAACTCCTGAGGGGCAGGCTGCTGTGGCTGATACTGCTGAGGTTGGTACTGCTGTTGCTGCTGATATTGCTGCGGCTGCTGATATTGCTGAGGCTGCTGAACTTGCTGCTGATACTGCTGCTGGAACTGTGGCTGGTACTGTTGAGGTTGTGCTGCTTGTGGAGGAAATCCTGGTTGAAATCCGGGTTGGAACTGCCCCGTTTGCAGCGCTCTCTGCAAAGCCCTCTCTTGCTGCTCTCGAATGTGTTTGTTGGCCTCGAGCTCTTGTAGACGTCGCATCTCCTCTTGCTGAGGCGTCAGTGGAGGAAGCTGAGGCGCGGGTTGCTGAGGTTGGAACTGAGTGAATCCTTGAGGACCTCTGGAATTAGAGAAATTAATTAGTTGCGCAAAAAATTATGTTGAGGGCTGGATCAACATTTCGAATAAGCGTAAACTCAGTTTGTACCTCATAATTGTATCCACTCAATTGTACACACTTTGTAATAGAAATGAAATTTTCTTTGGCAAGATAATTTAATGTCTACCTGGAAATGAATAGTTGCTGAATGTTGTGAGGCTGGGAGGGCTGAGGAGACAGCTGCTGCAGAAGACTCAGGTACTCCGGTGGAACCTGGAACCATATAACTATGAAATTACCTTGTAACGTAATCTAAATTCAAAACTCAAGTTGTTGAAAAGAGTATAACTATGCAGAAAGAAAAACATGAATATTTATGTTACTTTAGTTTAGCGAACAGAGTAATTAAATCTAATTTTATGAGCAGTGTCAAGACGAAAGCACACAACTACTTTCATCAGTGAACTGAAATGATCAATCTAAATCCGCGACTGTTTACTTTCATTTTCCGACAAGAGACTAATCGTCGTCAACCACGGAGGACTGATGATATTAATGGTTGTGTGATGACAGAGAAAGTTACGGTATAAATGATGGCTGTTTGGTTGGTTTAACTACTAAAAAATTACGTATTCAGCTTCAGTGAACCTGAATAATTCTGATAATTATTATCAAGGACGTTTCAGAAGAATGTGTAGAACTTTAAAAAATGAATGATCCATGAGAAATGTTGTACGTGCCCTCGTCTCAACGATTTATTTAATGAAATGACATGAAAGACACGAGGTTATGATCTTGAATCAAAAGAGCGGTCTACTAAACAATGTTGCATAACATTATGAGAAAGACGAATTGGAAAGTGAGCGTTAAGTGTTTACTCGCGGCCTTAAGGCAAAACATGCACTGGCTTTATGGGCAATCTAACACCAATCTAGAAAGTTGAGTATGAAGTAGATTTATAGCGGAAACGATTTACAAGATTCGTCTTTTAACTTGCAAGCGGAAGCGGTGTCATGAACACTAATCTGAAATGTTTATGCTTGCAGCACTACGGTTGATAGCATGTTACTTTACTCCTGAGAGTGCGAATTATTGGCTGGGAGATTTTTGGTGAATTTCAAAACAGCTGTTTTTTTATGGTTCGAAGGCTAGTCTAAGTGTCCTTGATCAATGAGTTGATATAAATGGTCCTAAAGAACCAGCAAGTAACTAAAAGAAGTCTATTTGTTCAGAAATGCGATACAATACTGTGTGGATAATGATTTGTTGTAAAAAAAATTTTCGAATTGCTTTTCAGTCCTTCCTAATCAAAAGAAAAATTTTAGAGAATTTTCCATATAGGGATTATTTTTATTTTTGGGGAAAACGCTCTTTGCGGAATAATAAGTCACTCTATACTCATTTTTTGATTAAAAACAAAGAACAAATACGTCACACAAATAAATAAAATATTATCACGCACACTCAGAACTATTTCACAAGTAAGTAAAGTGAACGTCCATGTCACAGCCATTGATACTGCAAGGACCGAGATACTGTATTATCTACTTGATGATAATGAGACTGTCCACAATACACGCACGTTCACTTCGTGAGAACTCACCCGGCCGAGAACTTGTACCTGTCTGGCCAGTGAGAACCAATGAGATTGGAAATGTTCTCATGAAAACGGTGGTAGAGCCTTCGAGAAATAATTGTGCGGTTGCAAAACGCTTTGCGATAAAATTCAATCGTGTCATTGTTATCTCGATATTGAAGTTTAAATGTTAGAGGTAAGATCTATAACCATAGGTAGCAATGAATTATCACCATGATTGTGTTCGTGTTCAATCTAAGAAGCTTGTTTTAAAATGCCCAAAATATTATAGAGAGTAAAGTATTCTCGGTTAGATATCTTCTTTCTGTAACCTGTAATACTTTTTTAATCACGAAAGGTAAGGAAAGTTTAGAATTTTTGCATACTTTTATCATAATACATATTGAACTTATTTATCCGAATTGTAAAGGATTTCAATGACAGGGCCTTTTAGGATGAACCCTTGACTCTCCTTACAATTTTTAAGTTAAATGTTTGGACATAATTTAGATCCAAATGTCAAGTTAGCCTTATTTTTGACTGAAACCGGAGAGCTATTCGTTTTAGTCGTCCAAACAGCTTATTTCCTTTCCTGGTCAGTTCTTCCCTCGGCTTATAATGCCCCTATCTGACCAGAATTTTCTTAGAGAGAACATGTTTTTAGACATCATTTCTTCAAATTCCGTCGTCATATACTGTTCCTCTTTTCTACTAAACTAGTTATTTCCTGATATCTATTATTTTCAAAGACATTTTCCTGTCCTACCTGTTGCGGGGCTCCGCCCTGGTCGCTGGTCCGCACCACGTACTGCCCAGGAGATCCTCCATACCTCACCTCCGCTTGTCTCTTCACTACCTTGTCCTCGTCAGGGTAGTTGAGCCTCTCTATCTCCAACATGATCAGCTGTTTGCCTTCCCCCTGAGCTTGGCTCTTGTCCTGCGCCTGAGGCGCCTGGCATCTGCCGACCACCGCCAGCCATGCTGAAACATCAGAGAACTTGTAAGAAAAAGTAAATAAATTACTTTTTAGATACTTTTTTAATGACCCAAATACTCATCCCCCTATCCCTACCCTATGGTTTTGTCCGGAACCATTTTACATACTACTTTAAACTAGGTATAGAATATATAGAATCCATTGGTGATTGGAGGGATTTTAACCTGAGATCCTGGGTACCGAAGCTTTGCACTCTACCATTAGCTCCGTATGCCGTTTTCTGCATCAAAATCCCGAATATTACAGTCCCCTCAACCTGTCACGGGCACGTTGGGGGTAGTCTGACCATTGACTAAAGGCTACATATTCAAAATGTTGGTCTTACTTATGTGGTCAGAAGGAAAGAGGCCATAGTCCAATGTAGCGCAATTTTCATTTTACAATGTTTAAAATGTATGTTGTGTTATAGGCCTGTAAGAATTTAAAAATTCGTTTGTAATTTTTTTTTATTTTAATTTTTATTTGTTTACAGAACTAATGGATTTACTTTTCTCGCTTATAAGATGACGATTTTAAAGGACGACTTGTTAAGACGAACTAAAAACTATTCTGTATAAGAATGTTGTCCAGAAGTGAGGATACGTTTAAAACAACACTTTTCACACTACAGTACTTACACGAAGTGATTTTCTCTCAATGTAAAAACGACATTAGAATATACTAGCTGTGTACCCGTTCTACGCACGGGGATCTTATAATATTCAGTTGAAACCTTCTTATATAACGAACAGCAGTTGGTTTGCATATTTTAAGATATGCTGGCCAAACTATTATACATAGCTTCATTTTATGTTGTTTTTTGTTGTTCCGGATCGGTATGACAATCAATAAAAGGTTAAATTACCTCTGTGTCTGCCGGTCGATCCTATAACGGTAGGCTTACTTTTATTTTTACTATCTGATCTCGTTTGCATGGCTCAATCACGTCCTGGTTGAAGTTCGTTCGCTACGCTCACTCACCTGTATGTTGGAGCTCGTTCGCTGCGCTCACTTTCCTTCAGGTTAGCTCGTTCGCTACGCTCACTCGCCTCCAGGTTGCAAATTAGCTGTTGTCATAAATGTAAAAGAAATAATAGTGCTAGTGCTGCACCCTGTTGGTAATCCTTGTAACTTTAATGCTATTGAACATCACAGAACAGAACCAACTTGTTTAATTGAAACAGCTGTTAAGATTCAATAATTTCATTTCTCATAAGGTTAACATGGGCTTCCAGAAATTCCACGTCAAAAATCGACAAAAACTTGATTTTCAAGGGTTTACTGTTAAATATCTAACTGTCTCATATTCGATGAAATACGTCTAAAACCATCTCATATATGTATAGTATTTGGAAAATAAGTTTCAGGCGGGACAGTGCTATAGTTATTGAGGAGTAGTTGTAATAAAGTGCGTATTTTAGCGTTACCAAGAGAATGACAGATAGACAGACAGACAGACAGACAGACAGACAGACAGAAATTGAGATAAGGTTTGATTCGGTTTCTCTGACCTATGAAATGTAAAAATAACCAAAAAGTTCATTATTCTAAGCAATGTACAGACAAAACTCTAATTTTATTTATATAGATAAAAGAAAATAAGAATCGTAAATAAACAGTTTGCAGAGTAGCAGAAATAAACCATAAATTAACATCAGCTGATTCATATGGACGAATCTATATGAGGTAATTTCATCTATAGTGGCACGGTGGTACTTATACCAACCACAGTTACATAAATAACTACTAAATCAAAACCTGTTGATGTAATCACTGAAATGTATCACGATATGAAATAACTGCTATATCGCTGTCATCTGATATGAAACCAGTACTGCCCAGCAGACCGTGGCGGAAAGTACTGTTGAAAGTGTAGATATAATCTTATAATCAAACAAATACGATAGAAAGTGATTGTGTAACATTCATTTTGTATTCTGTAAATCAATTTGGTGTGAGTTTGAGGTCGTGTGTTTCAATGCTTCTAAACGTCATGGAATGATTTGCAATAGAAAGCATCCGATTGTAATGACAAACTCAAACGATTATGCACAGAATTTACGTTCTAAGTCTAGATTTCACCTTGACTGATCTGATTTCAATTAAATCGTACATTTATTTCATCGCCGTTGCCACAATAGGTAGATTTTCTCAAGTTTAATCGACAACAGCTGTAATTATTCAACTGCGCTCTTGCCGATATTTTTTACGATACGTATTTCTATCTAAAATACCCCCGCCGCAGCAAACCTGCAGACTTAGCGAATTTCCATTTGCCTGATTGGATTTAAACTAAAATGTCTCCTTAAAAATATCACATTTATTCCCTATTTAAACAGAATTAGTTTAATGAGTACTTAGGTTTGCTGCAACAGGGAGGGTAAAAAAGTTTTTTTTATGTAGCATATTAAAAGGTAGGGCTACTGTGGTTTGGTAAGAAATTAATGTATTTTCTAACTTTTATCAAAATATGTTCATAAACAAGCAAACTACAACAGTTGACTTATTCTCCATAAGAATAACATGGGATTTTTAAAATTACAATTTTTTTGAATTTTCTCCGTAACAATTAGGCGCATAATAATGCTTCAACATACTAAATTATTTGTTTTTTTTAGCTCTACAAAATGGTTTAAAAAGAAATTGTGAAATTTTGTGTTTTTAGGGTCAAAAATGGGAAAAACCTATTTTTATCCCATAAAACCCCCCATAAACCCCCGTTCCCATAGTCCGATCATGCTGGTTCGCGAACTCATTCAAGTTTATTCCGCCTTACACCTTCAAACCAAATTTTATCAAAATCGGACAAAAATTACTCAAGTTATCGTGCGGATGGACACGATAACTGGTGTGTTGCTAAAAACTTAAGTGGTTAAAGTGTCCCGTCAGGTATTTAAACCTTTTTAATAAAGTTTCCCGCCCTTTTTAGAACTTTGACGACAGAAGGCGAGAGTTTATTGGTGGACAAATATAACATAAAAATGTATACAAACACAAACTTGTCATGGAATGATTGTTTCTAATCAATAAGCAACAGATCTTAGAGCGAAAATAGGTTTATGAAATCTTACTCTTTGTAGTATGTTTGTCAAACTGTATTCGTTTATTGTTTTAAACTGAGTCTGAAGACATAATTTTTGTCGTGTTATGCCTTTTCCCAAATATATCATAAACCATAAACAACAACTCTTAGAATCACGATTAGAATCTAAAGTGGTACTATTGTAAGTCAATTAGACAATTAATTACTCCAGCAATTGATTATCCTTGAGTAGTGATTGTAATTACATGTCAGTGACTGGTCGGAGCGCTTTTCAGATTCGGAATGCAAAAACTGGATCATTCCCTCCATCTGGTACCTCAGTGACCCACTGGACAAACTAGTTCTTGGCACGTGTGGGGAAGTAATCAGTCACTGCAATCAACTAGAATTGCCACTCTTTAAATAAATACTGTATGTCTCGCAAGTTCTAAATAGTCGCAAATAGTGTCAAAAGTCTAGACACGGACTTTTGACACTATTTGCGACTATTTAGAACAGTTTTTATAGTTCGATTTGAAATATCGGTCAACTGACCCGTCGACCAAGTTGAATGTCGATTAAGTGGTTTCGTGTATTAAAATTGTCGGTGAACTGGCTTGTCGAGCAACTTAAATGTCGATCAAATGGTGCCCAATGAAAATTCGACATTTTACAATATCCTTTGACGATATTATTAGCCCTTACCAAAACTATTGAATTAGACACTAAAGAAGAGATCTTCACAAATTCTTAGCCATCTGTAGTAAATTTTTAAATCTGAAAGAACGTAGTTGACTACGCTTCAAATGGAGTGTTTTACTGTTATAATTCTGTTTCTTCTTAAAGATCTCCGTTTTCTATACATGACATGGCCACTGGAATATGTTTGCTGGAATAAGTCCGCATTTTGAACAAATCAGAATTAGTACTCTACAAGTATATAAATCTCGAATGTTAAATTAAGAAATCTCACAAGGTATCGTATGTACAACAAGTCCTAACATGAATTATTCATGCCTGATTAAAATAATTGACTTAGTCAGTGAAGTAATCGAATATACCAGCTGAAGCTTGTTTTAAAAGAAGAGGTCATGGTTCAAAGAGCCTTTTGTGAGTACTATTTTGTCTTTTTTGACATTTATATTTTTATTTCATCATGACATTTTAATTCATTTTCACCCTTCATCTACGTATTCTAACAACGCCAGACAATCATATATGTTTCTTAGTTTCAACACCTAGTAAATAGCTATTGTTATTTCTCAGTTTCCAGGCCAGAACGTGGCTTGAGTTAACCTATAAATCACAACTCACGAGCATTTCAATACAGTTCAACCGAGAAACAGCAGTCATATAATACATGATGCAATCTGGATATGTAGACAAGTGAAAGCAGATACTGTTACCGTATGGGAGACATCGGGTGGTGATCCAGATAACTAGACTACTTTGGGTCTAGAATAGTGTAAGTAAGCTTATCTCATTGTCTTTGAATTTTAGATACCAGGGCAGACACCCTATCTATATAAAGGAGCTGTAGAAAATTTCGCATTCAAACGTGAAGCTATTAAATATTCTTTTAAGTGATTATTTCTAGAATATTCATTCATTTAACTTTTATAATTACAAAAATGGCAACCGATACCACAGAAAACGTCCTAAAAAGCAAAATTATCTCCAAGAAAACTAAAATGAAGGTCTATAAAACGATAATATTACCTATCACATATGGATCAGAAACCTGGGTATTGTTCAAACATAATATTTGCAACGATATTGGGACCGATAGTAAAAGATGGAATACGGAGGATAAGAACAAACAAAGAATTGAGAGACGTCTATAAGGAACCAGGCATTATATCTTTAATCAAAAGCCAAAGACTAATATGGACAGGGCACATCTATAGAAGACCAAGGAAGTCAAGAGTGGTTTTAGACGCATTTCCTGCAGGCAGGCGACCACTGGACTGACCGAGACTGCGG